TTAATGATCATTTAATATATTTACTTATATATTTACAATTTTATCCTCTCACTCTCCCCTTAGTTTTGTAACTCCCATATAATTCATGATTTTGACCCTCAAACTTAATGATCATTTAATATATTTACTTATATATTTATAATTTTATCCTCTCACCCTTTCATCTTTTTTTATTCTCTTATATTTATTTATTATTTATTAATAATATATTATTTTATCGTCCCAAAATCAATAGTTAAGGTTCGTTATTGGCCCTAGCTCTCACATTTTGTTGTATTTACTTTTGAGTATGACATATTATGTTCATGTCCATCCCGAAGTACATTATTACTCATTTGTTGTTCATCTTTTAAATTCATAAAATCTTCAAGTTGATTCTCCATAATGAAAATAAAATGTCTAGGTAGACAAAAATATTTTATTTTAATTAATTATATCATATAATGATAATAATAAAATTGTTATTAAATATTGAATATTATATTAATTTAGTATGTCCTAAATATATAATTATACTTTAACTTAAAATTAATTTAATTAAAAAAATAATTATAACCTCAAACCAATAAAATTTATTTACTATAATTTAAATATTTTTCACATCTAAAATTTTTACCTTATACTTATAAATAATTATCTAAATTTTAGTTTTATTTATTGTTAATTTAATAATTTACTATTAATTTAATAATTTAACTCCTCACGTTGTGTTTGTAAAAAGTATTATTTTTCACATCTAAAAGTATTACTTTCCTAAAAAATTACCTTACTCTTATAAATAATTAACTAAATTTAAATGTAATTTACTGTTAATGTACTGTTATTTCCACGTTATTATTGTTTTGTTATCTCGTATTTTAACCTTCGTAAACATACATGTTTAATTTATTTTTTTTAAAGGTATTAGTTTCTTAGAAGGTATTATTTTCATATCTAACAGGTATAGTTTTCTTAATAATTTACCTTATAATTAATTACCTAAATTTTATTCTTATTTGCAGTTGATTTAACTATTAACTCCTCACCCTATTAACTTGAAAAAAAAAATTGGGTACAGTTATTATACACTAGTATTGTTTTTTTTATTATTATTATTCCTATTGCTCTTATATTAACCTTCACTCTTACCTAATCATATATGCCTAATTTTTTCATATTTACATAATTGGTTACAATTTTTTCATATTTACCATAACATACATGCTTAAATTTTATAATTATTATCTCAAACAATTTTCCAGGATTATATTCCTTAATCTAATATATGCAAACACTTACAACCTATGCAAGAAAAAAAAGTGGTTTCTTTGTATTTTTATCACAAACAAAAATGGGTTCTCACAATGTACAAGAACATTAACAATATCAGTAATCACACCCCATGATATATGTAGGGAACACTTGTTCAGAGGTACATAATCGATTATATGCGTCTCCATAATCAATTAAGACCAAATGCTTAATCAATTATATTGTATGACATAATCGATTATGAAGTTCAACATAATTGATTATGCAACCAATGATAATCGATAATATATTCTTTTATAACCAATTGGAGAAGTTCATCTAATCGATTATGTTATTGAGTTTTACATCAGTATCAATGGCACAAATTATAACCAATTCAAACCGCAACACAATAAATTAATAACAATCTCATGGCACAAGTGAATTTACATGTTAAACAATTGAGACGAACAACAAATTGGATAAGAAGAAGGATAAAAACTTGACTCGACTAGGTGGACGATGGAGATATAACACGTCCCTGCATAATTTCGTTTCTTTGTTTGAAACTTCTATCGGAAAATCGTTGATGGGAATGGAGGAGGAGTGAACGCACAATTTTCATTACGACAATGGGTGTATTTATACACGAAATTACAATGGTTCACGGGTTGCATTTCAATGTGTGAACAGTATAGGCCAACATTCGCTCAACGCATGATCATGCATAGTGTTTTGTTGGTGAACTGAACCAGGCACAAGACACCATGACAACATTCTCCAACAAAACACTATGCATGATCATGCGTTGAACGAATGTTGGCCTATACTGTTCACACATTGAAATGCAACTCGTGAACCATTGTAATTTCGTGTATAAATACACCCATTGTCGTAATGAAAATTGTGCGTTCACTCCTTCTCCATTCCCATTAACGATTTTACGATAGAAGTTTCAAACAAAAAAACAAAATTATGCAGGGACGTGTTATATCTCTATCGTCCACCTAGTCAAGTCAAGTTTTTGTCCTTCTTATCCAATTTGTTGTTCGTCTCCATTGTTTAACATGTAAATTCACTTGTGCCATGAGATTGTTATTAATTTATTGTGTTGCGGTTTGAATTGGTTATAATTTGTGCCATTGATACTGATGTAAAACTCAAAAACATAATCGATTAGATGAACTTCTCTAATTGGTTATAAAAGAATACATTATCGATTATCTAGGGATGGCAAAACGGGTCAGCCCGCCTCACCTTTGGCCCGCCAAAAGCAGGGCGGGGCGAGCTGACCCGTTATAGTCATGACGGGCTGTAGACCTAAGCCCGCCCTGCCAAGGGCGGCTGACGGGCTGACCCGCCATAATTTAGAAAAAAAATAATTTATTTTTTAAAATATTTTTTTAATAAATTTAATAATAAGATTATTATTTATTTGTGAATAATTCAATATATATATATATATATATTATTTCAATTTAATAATATAAATCAATACATTGTTTTAAGAAATTATAATTTAGTACAATAATAAAATTTACATAATAATAAATAATAACAAATATAACGTTAAAACTTATAAAATTTATATTTTTTATATTGAAAAATTCATATACTTATATCTTTTTTATTTGATAAAACTTCATATTATTCTTGGTTGAGTAATTCTTACACCTTTAATTCAAGTCATAAGGATAAAAATAATCGGTGCTTAAGATGAACATGGAGAACAGGAGAGAGAATGTTGTGTTTCAGTAAGGAAAATATTTTCTGTAAGTGAAACTTTTTTAATTCTCTTTTTAAAATTTGTAACTTTATATATTATCTTTATAATTAATTTTATTACAATAAAAATTATTTTTTTATTAATTAGACGGACCGCGGGTTGGCGGGCTTGGCAAGGCAGGCCAAAACGGGCTGGTGGGTTGAAAACACCAACCCACCCCGCCATATTATGGTAGGCTGACAGGCCGGCCCACCAGGCCTGACCCGTTTTGCCATCTCTACCAACAACATAAGCTATGTTGGCACAGATATGAAATCTCTTGATGCAAAACCTTAAGGCAAAGACAAACTAGGGGCATATTGATTATTTTGTCCCAATTTTATGCATTTGATCGTATCTTTGGAAAGTTAACATTATTCAACTTTCTTATTCTCCTTTCTTCTTAAATATGTGCAAATCAACAAACACAACTCTCAAATTCACTCCCCCGTTATTTTTTTTTACTAGAGTAAATCAATGAAAAAAACACACAATAGAAGGTTAAGAACACTTCATTATTTGCTAATTGAGACATTGCCAGTTTATAACCACATGGTGTTTTCTAAAAAAAATTTGTTAATAGGCTTAACTTTGAATTACATAGAAGTAGAAGTGTGCATAAGTGCTCAATAATAATGCCAACTTTCTTTTTTTCTTATATGTAATTATGTAGAAGTAAAAGTGTACATAATTGTTCAATAATAATATCAACTTTCTTTTTTACTTGTATGTAATTACTTAGAAGTAGAAGTGTGAATAATTGTTCAATAATAGTATCAACATTATTTTTTCTTGATCTCTTTGATTATTTGAATGAGTACAACGACAGTTAACAATTTCTTAAGAAACATTTTGAACATATGTTAGAGAATAGAAAGAACACATATATATTATATAAAATTTTTAAAATTAGATTCATATAGTTAAAATAGTTAGTTATATAGAAGACACAATTATAATCTTTAAAAATATTAACATCAAACTCCTCTAGCTAAAATAATTTGTTAAAAAGTTAAATATTCTATCTAATTTTAAATAAATATTTTTTAAATTATAATTTAAAATTATATTAATTACTCTTTTATTTATTATATTTTTAAAAAAATAAATAAATTATTATAAGTGATTTTATATAAATACAAAATATTAGGATGAAAAAGTTATTGATGAAGAAAATTAACAAATCTATTAAAAATAATAATATTTATTTATTTTTGTTTATGTACGCTAGCTTGAAATATATTTAGATATAAAGGTTAAAGGTGAAAAAATTTTGTTATATATCTCTTAAAAGATATAATATATATATATATATATATATATATATATATATATATATATATATATCCTTAATGAATATTTTGTATTATTCTACCCATGTTTCACCTCTTTATTTTAGAAAAAAAAATATAATTAAAATATTTATAAATGTTGAAAGTCTCACATCGCCTACCTCATATCATTTTGTATGGTTTAAATACATATTAAGCTACTCCACATATTGCCAATTGGTTTTATTCTGAACCTTAATAATAAATTTAGTTTTGGTATTAAGAATATTAACAAAAAATGGTTTGATTTAAGTATTTTTTATTAAAAGGTCTAACCGGATCAAAACTAAACTTATTTAAAGAAGATAAGACGAAGACTTAATTTAATAAAAATTGAAAATAAGATAGAAAAGTCAAAGATGGATATTGGAGGAAAAAATAGTTAAAAAATATTATTTAATGAATTAATTTGATCAAAATCATAATATATTATTTTTTTAATCTTAATATTAGAAATAATATAATTAATTAAATAAAAAATATATATTCAAAATTTAAGATGGTAAAAGAAATATTAAATAAACCAATATTTTAATGTAAATTTATATATTAAAAGAGAAAAAACCTCGAAGCAAACTAACCCGACCCGTCTTCTTTGCCACTGAACCACACAGCACGAACCGCAAGTCAATTGGCGTTGGCTCCATTCAGAGATTTGGTTCGCCTGAAACCTAATGGCTCCGAAGCCCAAACCGGTGCCGTTACAACCTGCCCCTCCCCCTTCCCTCGAAGATCTCTTCACCACGCTCAACAGGCACATCCAGGCTTCCGCATTCGACAATGCCGTTAAACTCACTGATCAGAGTTTGTCAATTTTACTTCTCTCCTCAAACTTCTTTCCTTTCATTCATATTATTAGGTTCCTATGTTTTCTCATGGCTATTTTGTTCGCATCGCAGTTCTCGCGATTGCACCCGAAGATGAGGACGCCTTCCGATGCAAGGTGGTCGCGCTGATAAAAAATGACCGCATCGACGATGCGTTATCCACCATTAAGTCTTCTCGGAAGCAGCTGGATGATTTTCATTTCTTCAAGGCACGTCAATTTCCACTTTCGTTCTGCTTTTTCATTGTTTAATTGTTCTGCTTTCTCCTTGTTTAATTGTTGAAATTGAGATCGGATCTGATTGCACTGTGTTTTCTAGAACTCGAATTTGTATGTGTGTTTAGAGGTTAGAGATTGAATTAGGTTTTAAAAAAGCTGGTTGCAGTGCATAAAAACATTTAATTGTCTGATACTGGAAGTGAATGGCGAGAACTGGGTTAGTGGAAAAAGAAGGGTTTTACGTAAGAATGGAAAGAAAAAAGGGAATGGTAGTGCAGATATCCTCTACTGTGGTTGGTAGCAAAAGAGAAAGTGAGGAAGAAGTAAGGAAAGAGCTGTAGACAACAAAACCTCCAATCAAACTCAAACTTGCTAATTGTTATTAAGTCATTGTCAAACCTTTAAATTTTGAGTTGTTTATGAACTTGAACTTTTCTGCTGCCGAATGTGAGACTCTGACTGTCTTTTTCAAACTAATGCTTGTTATACGGAATCTTAGGTGAAGAAATTAAAGTTGTCTGAATTGGTAGTAAAGAAAAATAGGTTGATTTTTAGATGCTTTATTATTTTTCTTGATCTTGTTTAATGTATTTGTATTTCATTTAAATGGTTTAGTTAAGTTGGTTGTATAAACTTTTTCTTGAAGAAATTCCCTAAGACCCCTTGAAGTTTCTCGAGATTGCTTTTGACCCTTTTTACATTTACAACAACCTTTCTTGTAGAAATATATAACAATAGGGAGATCTAGTGTAGGAATTGAGAAAAAAAAAAAAAAAAGGGTATCGCAATATTGGGGGAAATTTGACAAAATCTCAGGGGGTTAGTTATTCACTTTTGTTTCAATATAACTTGGTTTGTATAGTTTGTTCGTATTCTTTGAATAAATTCAAGTAGGTATGCAAGCTCCACTGCTTTTAACGGAAAACCATACAGATTGGTTGGTTTGAAACGTTAATACTCAAGCATGTACATTTGATATTTCACGAAAACTTTGTTAGAGTTTACCTGATGAAATACATAAGTGCTTACTATTGATTGTTGTTTCTTACTTTGTTGTTTCTAAATAGGCATACTGCTTATACAGACAAAACAAGTTGGATGAAGCTTTGGAGTCTTTGAAAAGACAAGAGAGAAATAATGAAACTATGCTTTTGGAGTGTCAGATATTATACCGTCTTGGGAAAATGGATGCTTGCTTAGATATCTACCAGAAGCTCCAAAATTCCAAGATTGATAACATGGAAATCAATTCTGTTGCTGCCCTAGTTATGGCTGGCAGGTCATCTGAAGTTCAAGGAATGCTGGATTCACTTCGAGTTAAAGCAACAAGCAGCTTTGAATTGGCATACAATACTGCTTGTTCTTTAATTGCAAGGAAGAAGTATACAGATGCAGAACAACTGCTGTTATCAGGCCGCAGGTGATTTGCTATTTTGATTATGGAAACTATGATATTGAACAAATTTACCTGCATTTCCATGGTTGAAAATAATGCTATAGTGTAACAATCTTCTCTTTTTATCACGTGATGTAAGTCTGACTTATCAGTTGCAGATATATATATATATATATTACCTGCATTTCCATGGTTGAAAATAATGCTATAGTGTAACAATCTTCTCTTTTTATCACGTGATGTAAGTCTGACTTATCAGTTGCATATATATATATATATATATATATATATATTTATGGCTCTTATTGTGCTTGTTCTTGGGAATTCTAGAGTTTTGTTTAGAAATTTTATGTACTTGAAAGTGTTGATAGAAACTTACATTGTTTGATCTTTAACAATAGTAATAGGTCCATTATGTTGGGAAATCAAGTGTAATTGGAATTTGGGGTATGAGTAAGAACTCCCACTCATGAAAAACATGGACAAATTGATTTCATATAAAGTGAAAATATGCATGAACTGAATGCATCTGGTTTTGGGTTGATATATGATGTCTGTCCTTTTACTATGATCCTGGTAAGTCCACTGGATTCAGATCTCCCCGGTTTCCTTGAATCTGGATGCCCTTGACCCAAACAAGTGATATTAGAGCTGATGGTTTGACTTGGACAAGGACTGGAGAAACAATAACCAATTAATAAGTCATGTGGCTTGGTGTCTGGTAACACGATCAAGATTTAGTTCTTGTTAAAAGTGGACTTAGTGCTCGGTAGAAAAGTTGAGGACATACTTGTTTGATGAGGATTGTTAAAAACATTAAATGTAAAGGATGGTAAGTCAATAATAATGGAAGATAGCAGTGTTGTTGTAAATAGCTGCCATAGTGGCACTGCAGTGGTATATCATAGAGGAATTTCTCAGATCCGTAATTATGACTGCATTTTGCAATTCCAGTCATTATCATTGTTGTGGTTGCGGCATGCGTCAAGGATTCTTGCCAATTGAACTTTTAAGTTTATATTGCACCAACTTTTTTTTGCATACAACTTAATTTTTTATGCATATATAAGTTATGTATATCATATATTTCAACGGTTATATGACATCCACTATAATATATCCATGACACAATCTACTATATGATATAGCGGGCTATTGGATTTTGACCATTTTCCGCAATTGATAACACTTACACATAGTGAGTGTGGATGAACATAACTTGTGGACCTACACATATTAGTTGTCAGAGATGTTCAAACTTCAAATTAGGTGGAGCCATGGTTGTGGTTTGTTTTCAGGTTATGTATACTAGTAATTGAGTAGATACCATAAGTATTTGTCTCTTGTTTGTGACTTTTGACTGATAAGGATTCCTTCACCCAGTTCAAGAGGTTGGTTCTCTATTAGGTCTGGATTAAGGTCGAGCTGTTATAAATTTTTAACCTGACAAGACATTAACCAATGTTAAGATTTGTGAGATATCGATTCTTGCATTTTGTTGAGAGTTTTTGTTAATGTTTAGGTTATCTGTATTAAGTATTTTTGGTGATTTAGGAAATCTAAAGGATTTCATGGATTCTGAAGAATCTTTTGACTACTTGATGATTTGTTTAATCTTTTGTAAGTTATTGTTTGATGTATTATTTTCCATTTCCCCAGTCAAGTTATGTTAGCTGTGTTAATTGTGGTAGGTTCTTGGTAATGAGATGTACATGGGGAAGGCTAGAAACATAGGCAGTGAATTGGGACAATGGTACAGGAAGTGCAGGATGGGAATGACGAAGCTAATGAACTGTATAATAGTCCCTCTATGATGTAGTGAAAAATGGGTGAGAAGTAGAATTCAGTTGGGTGAGTGGAGATAAGGAATTGGGGCCTGAAGGCATGGAGGAGGAACAGGACCCTCAAAGTTCTACAGTGTTTCTATCTTAATTTTATTATTTAATGAGTGTGGGAATGAGGAACTTTAGACTGTAATTGGGGGACTAATCCCTCCTAACAAATTTGTATCAAAGCTCTGGTCTGGAAGCTATGACTGTGGATCTAAATATGAAAAAGATGGTTGAGAAAGATGGACATACGACGTTGAAATTCTTGGAAAATATAAGTAGACCTTTGAGCATTGAATTAAGTATTTGAGAGAATGTGAAAATCTTTGAAAATATTATTAGTTTTGGTATATTTGTTAGTAAACCTAGAATCTGAGGAATCTTGGTTATAAATAAAATCTATAGCCTATTTATGTAGATGAGGGAGGCAAGGTTTCTAGGCTATGAATGTGACTATGAGAGAGGTTATACAAGGGGCTTTGGGTTTGGCTTTAAACAAAGTAATTATTATGATATTGTTTTATCTCATAGTGTAATTTCTGTTCTTAGGACGTGTGCATGTAGGCATGTGACTATGCAAATTGCATTCTTGTGTTTTGGTGATCATTGTATCTATCATTTTCCCCTTGTTGACATTTTGAACTCTCTTAATGACCTAAATTCATTTATCCCATATTCTGTGTTGTGGTTTTGGATTATTCTGATGTAATTGTGGATTAGTTGCTCATCCCATTTTGGGTTCTGTGTCTGCTTGAGTGAGTATAAGTTTTGTGATACAGACCAGCACCGCACAATTAAGGATTAATGACCAAGCATAAAATAGAAGAAAGAAATACTATTATCTTGTATTATTTGTATCTATCAATTTCCCCAACCGGTTCTCCTCTCTCCCAAAAAAAACTCCCCTCCTTTCACTTATAATTGATACATGTTAATAGAAAATATCCTTCTCTCTCCTCTAACTGCCCTCCCCCTTAATCATGCCACCTCAGCCATATGTTTCCTCTTTCTCACATATACTCTCCCCCATCTCTTTTTGCTCCCTTCCTGCACCAGTGGTTCATGAGGCCCACTAACTGTTTGGGCCTCATCAATTTGTTACAAGAAAAATGTGTTATATGCAGTATTTGTGTCTATCGTCCAATTTTAATCCTTTAGGACTTTGGAATACAGACAGGTTCTTGAGTATAACTTTTAAGACAATCTCTATCATGTATACATGACAACCAGCAGAGGCTCCTTGAGTATGGCTCAATATCCTTACGTTGACATTTATATCAGATTGCTTAAGAGTTATTACTTGTTAGAATCATAAGATGTTAAGTGGTTACAGTGAATCCTATGCTAATGCTACATCATTATAAGGAAGATAATTGATAAACATGTGATAGCTTAACCAAATTTGAGGGCAAAGCTGTCATTACTGATGATCTTGAGCTAGATATTCAAAAAGCACATTGATAGTTTGTATATTGAATCCCTTTTGGAGGGCCGCATGAAGCTATTTACTATTGTTGTTCGCTAAATTTAATGATTCATTATATTAGTAACCAGCAATGAAGCACAATATGAATTTCGATGTTGATTGTTTTAATTTAAATTTGTTTGCTAGTTTGTTTTCCTTGCTTACTTACTAATTGATAACCAAGTAAGTTAAATCATTCAGTGACGTGTTATATTAGGCACTAGCAACAATATGCATTCTGAATTTCTTTGTTGGTTGTTTTTAATTTAAATTTACTTTAATGCTATATTGTTTCTTTTACTTTATTGCTGTATGATAACCAATTAAGCCTTGCTATATATGTTTATTCCTATATTCTGGATCAGAATTGGTCAAGAGGTCCTGATGGAAGATAACTTGGCCGATGATGAGATAGAAATTGAATTGTCTCCTATAGCTGTACAATTAGCCTATGTCCAGCAGGTAAGGTTTTGATCTCTCAAATTTATGTCTCCTTCAAACAGTATTTTCAAGACCCAGAAATATTAATCTATCATGAATGAACAGCTTCTTGGGCGTAAGCAAGATGCTATTGAAGCTTATACAGACACAATTAAACGAGATATGGCTGATGAATCATCACTTGCAGTGGCAGTGAACAATCTTGTTTCACTGAAAGGTCCAAAAGATGTTTCTGATAGCTTAAGGAAACTTGATCGACTGAAAGACAAAGAGAGTCAAAGCTTTCGGCTAGCCCGTGGACTGGACTTGAAACTTTCAGCAAAAGAAAAGGAAGCAATATATGCAAATAGGATTCTTTTACTTCTTCATGCTAATAAGATTGAGCAGGTTTTTCTTCTTTCTTGGTCTTGTCCTTCTTGAATCATCAATTGTGTGTCATTTGTTCTTTCTTTAGAATGGGCAAGCTGCCCATGATTGATTGAGCATACTGTTGATTATTACTTTTCTGTTAAAATTTGTAGGCACGAGAACTTGTTTCTGCATTACCAGACATGTTCCCAGAAAGTGTGACACCGGTATTGCTGCAAGCTGCCCTCTTGGTTAGAGAGAACAAAGCTGGAAAAGCTGAGGAAATACTAGCACAGTTTGCCAGTAAGTTCCCTGAGAAGTCCAAAGTTATTCACTTAGCCCGGGCTCAGGTGGCTGCTGCTGCTGGCCACCCACATATTGCAGCCGATTCTCTGGCTAGGATATCTGATATTCAACACATGCCTGCTACTGTTGCGACCCTTGTGTCTTTGAAAGAGCGAGCTGGTGACATTGATGGTGCAGCTGCTGTTCTTGATGCCGCAACTAAATGGTGGTCTAATGCGATGACTGAGGACAATAAGCTTAATATTATAATGCAAGAAGCTGCGTCATTCAAGCTCAGGCATGGCAAAGAGGATGCTGCTGCTCAACTCTATGAGGAACTCGTCAAAAGCCAGGGAAGCATAGAAGCACTAGTTGGGCTAGTAACAACAGTTGCTCGCATGGATGTTGACAAGGCAGAGCTTTATGAAAAGCAACTGAAGGCCCTACCTGGTTTAAAGGGAATTGATGTGGACAGCTTGGAGCGTACATCTGGAGTGAAACACGTTGAGGCTCCCCGTGTTGGTGTCTCTGAAACATATGAAGAAGGAAAGAACAAGACAAAAACTAAGAAAAAGAGAAAGAGAAAGCCAAGGTATCCTAAAGGGTTTGACCCTGCAAATCCAGGTCCTCCCCCAGATCCAGAAAGGTGGCTTCCCAAAAGGGAGAGATCAACATATAGGCCCAAGAGGAAGGACAAAAGAGCTGCTCAAGTGAGAGGGTCTCAAGGTGCTGTAGTTAGAGATAAGCATGATACTGGTGCCTCATCTAACAGTTCAAATCCAAAATCAAACCATGGAACTTCCAAAGGAGCTGGGCAGAATTCAGTTTCCGAGCAAACCAAACCTTCATCCAAGTCGTCCAGAAAGAAATCCAGGAATTAAATAGGACTCATGTTTTTTTATGAACTTTTTAGTTGACTGGTTGTTGATGCTGTTTAATGACTAAGATGAGGGTCCAATATATACAATACACTATGTGGGTTCAGATTCAAAACCGTCAGTTTTGGTTCAAGTTATGAGTATATGTTAGACGCAATCATCAATGTGCAAGTTTGTCGTGCGTATTTTGTTTGAGAATTTTGGGGAATCATGGAAATACGACCTCCTCGCTGACAAATGCATTGTTTTCTTTGATCTGGCTCTGCTCTTTCCATTTGCCTCTGGTATATGTGGGCGTAAACTTACATTTTTTTTAATCTAATTATATATTACAAATATAAACTTTTAACCATTATAGAAAGCATGATCCAATTTTTAACGCAATGCCAACGATTTTTTTACTAATATATTTTAGGTCAATTGCGTTATGAATTTATTTTAGGTTTATGCATTTGTTTCTCCTATTTTTGAATTAAAATATGAATGTTTAGGAAGGCCATGAAGGTCCTGAAAGGACATATTAATTATCTTTTAAAGCTCATAATCCTAGAAGGTTCAAAGAGGTCTATATACAAAAGTTTCCATTTTAAGCCTACGCAAAAATCACGATCATTATTTAATGATAACCAGAGAATAACACTATGTGATAATTTTTACAACACATAGACAATCAACTCATGTCCTTTGACCCCAAATATACCAACATTCTCCAAAATAATAATTTAAAGTAAACCTCACAACACTCTACTACAATAATATAAGAAAAGTCAAATATATACTTAAAGTGTTTTTTTACTGGGGTGAGAACATCATGAACTTTGAGTTTATTATATAGTTATTATCATGCATTCTATTATTTATTCAATGTGATATGAGACTTTTTAATATGTATTATTTTAATCAATCCAATAATTAAGCATGTAAGGTTCATATATGATATATTCTAATCAAGCATGTAAATACTCTGAATCCTCTAACCAATTAGATTTACCTTTCTTGATTTATTGATACAAATTAGGGAATAATCACTTTCAGATGAACAATTCGTACAAGATCCTCAAGATTCGGATTTGAGAATTAAGCTAAGAGAACATGAACTAAAGAGAGAAAAAACTTTTAGAACTTGAAATCTAAAAAATAAAACTTAACTTGTGAATTTTGACATTCTAAAACATATTTATACAACAACAAATGTGCTTAACATTCGCAAGGTCCATAATTATCTAATTACATCGAATAGAACTTCAATTGCAAAACAACATAATTGAATCTTTGTGAAAGATTTGCTCAGCGATAACTTTTGCTCGTTTAGTGACTATTTTTGCTCGCTCAAGCAAAATCAGTAGTTAAATTAGTTTATTTGAATCATCATCTTCACTTATAAAATTTACAAAATCTTCAATGAACTCTCTGACAATAATTCTTCATTGAGCGAATTCTTCAAAATAAATATTTATATTTTCTTTTAATTTATATTTTTTATAAAAAATAAATAAATAAATAGTTAAAATGCACAATTTAGAAAATAATTTAGAAAGGGAGATATTTATTTTATTTTATCAAAATTATGTTAATAATAAAGAATTAATTAATTAAATACACTAATTATATTAATTATAATAATAAAAAGATTGATAAAATGTATTCATTAATTATCAAATCAAACTTTAATCAAAATTTAATTTGAATTCTAAAACCTAGCAAAGTAAATCATAATCAATTTTATATTAAAGATACAGTTTAGCCTTTCATGAAAGCATTTCCCATTAAAAAATGCAAGAAATATGAAAAGACAAAACACAAATTAAAGAGGAAATACAAAGAAGCAAAATTTCTTTTAATTGCAAAAATAAAAAGTGTTTTAAGCATGTAAAAATTTATCCCTTCATATCCTAAAGTGTTCTAAAAGATGAAAATGAGTGAGTCTATGTTTGGATTGAAATGAGCCTTAATTACAAGTCCAATTACAAAATGCAATCCTATATACAAAAAATTTGCTTTTCTATCTAAAATTATAAAAATTACCTATGAACTCCAAATTCAACACTTTGTATATGAAAATTGAGACCTTGAAAATAAGGAATTCATTGAAACAAAAATTATCCAAAACAAATATTTATAGAGAAATTGTGTTCTAAAGAGTAGACAAAGATCAAATTAGAAAAATACAAAATTAAAGTATTCATTTAAAATAAACCCAATTTATTACAAATGAGGAAAAGGTAAGAAAAACCAAATAATGAAATATAGAAAATTATTTAGAAGGTACAATAATGCTTTTTATGTGAATACAAAATATGGGTTGTCAAGGTTCAACCACAACTTTTATATAAGAAGGTTTAATCACACTTCTAAATGAACTATGTGATTTAGGAAATTTAGAGATTTTTGCTAATAAAAGGGTGAGTTTTTCTCTGTCATTAAAAATATTATTCCTTAAGTGAGTCATATCTTAAGAAGAGTGTTTCAAAGAATCTCTAATATTAGTCATATCTTTAGATAGAACATTGAAGTTCAAGCATTATTGGTCAAGCCAAGAACACCCTTTCAACTATACCTCCTAGGTGATTGATATCCTAGAGAAATAGTCACACCTTCCACCATCCAAGAGAGTGTACATTAGTAAGTTCTCTTCTCCTATACTTTATCTCAATCTCTTCTCTTCAATTTTGTCTTCTTCTTTTCCTTCTTCTATGTGTCTAAGCTAGTATCATCCCTAGCCAAACCCTTTAAGAAACTCCAAGAAACATATAAACTTTGCTTCCACCAAAAGGAATCCAAGAAACTAAATCATTCTTACCAAGATAGCACCAATAACCTCCAACTTACTTAGGTCGAGTCATGTCATTGTTGATAATCACAATGTAAAATTTTTAAAGAAGTACTAATCACATATTAAAATGGAATGGTATAACCATATTGCTTCTATAAAGTACTTGTTATAGTAAATTAACAAGGAATATGATAGGATTACAATTGTCATTATTCTAAATAAGAAAGTGAGATAACATAATTTTGAAATAGTAGAAGAGATTAAATAACATTTGAAAGACAATTATATATCATTCTTTAAACAAACACTTGCTAGATATGTCAAGACGTTTAGCGAGTCTCATAAGTTAACTTATTCATTAGGTGGTCTTGTGAGCCATTAATTAACATATTGTTAACAACTTATAACTCATGCATCCATTCTCAATACACATATTAAATATTTAAATTTGAATTATATTTATTAACACCAAAATCATGATATAATTTTTATCTATTGTAAGACTTGAGATAGTTCAACTGAATCTAACAATAATAAAAACTTGTTCATGAGAAAAGTCACTATTTTTTGTGGAGACTTCAAGAAAATTTTACTAGTCATATCAAAGGAAAGTTATTTTGATATTGTCCATATGATGATTAATGCATCATACATAGAAATAATAGTAAAGTTTTAATTCAAATAAGGAATACGTGTTTGCCTAAGAACATGAAAACTAGATATAGGAAACTACCAAATATCATAACCAAATAATGGTTATGCATCATATGATATTCCATGATCACTGTAATGATTAAAAGTTATCCTAATAACATCAACCATTGTAACTATTGACCAAATAAATAACTAGGTGTTCTCATTGCTTCTAGGAATGATTTAAATGATGAAAGATTACAAAATGTTAATTAATTAAATATTATTGTTTAATTATAAATAACTTAATTTTATTTGGTTAAATTTGATTTTAATGATGAAAGAAAATACTTAAGTTCGTATTTGATTTACAAGTTATAAACCATTGAGAGTCAAAGGTTTTAGTTGTTTACAAGTGAGTGTCTGAATTTTCTTAGAATATTAGTACACTAACCATACTACTATAGACTATAAATCAATCTAGAGAACTTGTGCAATGAAAGTAGGTAAGTAATCACCAAAGAAGCAAATTATGTCATTAAAGAAAGAACTATGTTTGAAAATACAATTAAAAATATTATCTACATTCTCATAATATCTTTCCATCTCATCTCCATGGTCATTTAAACCTATTCTAAGACAATTTTATCATTTCTTATCTCTTATGCAAACAATAATAAATAAATTACAAAACCAATCATAAAAAAATTAGATAATTAATTTATCTAAGTCAGTATTTAGTTATAATTGTATATAGCACTTTCACAGGTAATATTAAATATGATTTAAAAATATTAATATTTGATAGGACAACCAATATAAAAAATCAAACTACCTATCAATGCCTTCTTTAAATAAATGTGTCAAAAGTGCATATATTTTAAACACATTATTAAATGTAAATTCACTTAAAAAATCAATTTACACTCTTAATTATAATTATACCAATATGTCAAAAATAGGGTTTAATCTATATTTATTTTCTAATACTTCACCCTCTTTCTTACATATTGAGTTCTATATTCATTAGTATCCTTCCTCTCTTTTATAAAAGAATTTAATGTTTGTAGCTGCATGTTTACACATTCTTCACTTATTTTTACAAATACAAATTTATGACCAAACTTCAATGTAGATTAATGACATCATAAATATGTGATGTTGATATCCTCTATGTTTATTTTTTCTTTTCTTTAAAGTCTACATTAGTATGAATCTCTATGTTACATGCAATTTTAATGTTACAATTACAATTTCAAAAACTTTTACTAATTTGCCTATGAAGTATAGAGATTCACATACAACTTCTTCTATTATGAAGAACAAATTCATTTGATCCAAAAATATAACTATATTTGTCTTGGTATCAATGTTGCACCTCATTCATGGTCATCTTTTTAAATATGGTGGTTTTGATATATACTCTTTTAATATTACGTATTCTTCAATTAACTAATTATGAATAAGTTATGATTATATTTTTAAAATTCGTTTGAACAAAATTTTCAAGAATTAGTAATCGACCATATTTTTTTTATTATTATTATTATAACATAATAATATAAACTAATCTCACCAAGCGTGTATATCTATATGTTATCTAATAATTTTGTTTTAATATATATATATATATATATATATATATATTAAAATAAATCTATATGTTGACTTGTAACGTTAACGTTCCTTTATTAATTTTTTTAATATATATAATAATATATATTAAGAGTAATATATAAAAAATTATATGATATATTGTTATGTTTAATCTATTCATAACTTTTAAAAGGTATTTTAATTCAAATTAAAAATTATAAAAATAACAAATTTAAAAGGTAAGTAGTTAAGTTAAGAATGTATTTAAATTTTGAAGATTATATATATCATATCGAGAGTATTTTTTAATTAGTTTATGATATTTTGCTACAACTTTTCGGTTGGTATTAAAAATATGAAAACATACTAATGTGTTTTAGAATATGCACCTCATCAAAGAAGAATAATTAAACAAAATTAGGAAAAAGTAAGGCTTGATGAAACAGATTATTAATTTTTTTTTATGAAACTATAATTATATTTAGAGCACATGTTTCATTAAGAATTTGTTTGTTTAAGTTTTTTTACAATTTTTTTATTATAAATAGGTTTAAAATATACATATATATTACCAAAATTTTAATATAGTACTTTTGATGTAAAATGTCATAATAAATATATTTTATTCATTTTATTAATTTTGAATGAAAATAATTTAACCACAGTTTCTGTCAAGCAAGCTTAAGGCATAATAACATGTAAAACTATAATATTTCAAAAAACAAAATTAACCAAACAAAAGTTAATGATTTTATAAAATATTTTTATTAGACATACCGTTTCCATATTTTTATAAATTGATTAAATAATTAAATATTTTACTGCGGAGATTCATTGCAGTTTGATTTTCTTTTTCATCTCAAATGAGATGTTCATAATCCAAAAACTTATTCAATGAAAATTGTTTTTTTTTTTTTAAGTTTTTAACTAAATTGAAGTGTTTGATTCCGTGTGATTTGTTACTTCAGAATCAAACCATATATTTACGTAGTATTAAGCTACTTTTTATAGGAAACATTAGTGCAATTTTATAATAAAGTTGATGGTAGTTTTATACGTACAAATCTATTAAAAACATTTTTGTTTAATTATTTTATTATATTATTTTAATATATTATTTTATATTAATTATTATTTTTTAATTATTATTATCTTTAAAAAAACTCTATCAAATGTAATTTTTATATTACTATTTGTTTTTAAATACACTATTTTTTACTACATATTGACTTTAATATTATAACAATATTATAATATTATTTATATATATTTGGTTGTAATTCAGATTTATCGATCTAATTTTAGACTCGTCTTTCATTAAATATATAATACAATAGTAATAATTTGATTTTTAATTTTAGCAAGTAAAAATTTACTTTTTAAAATATATTTACAATATATATATATATATATATATAAAATACTTTGGAGAAGGATAAAAAAATAAATTAAATATATATGGCTAAATTACATTTTAAATAGGATATTTTTCTTTATTATAATTTGATTTAAAAATAAAGATATTAAGTTGTTTTTTTAATAAAAAGAAAAAAATAGAACTGGAAAATTAAATACAATAAAATTTTATGTAAAGTAAACTATAAAATTGATTTGATTTTGTTATGATAGTATTTTATGATAAAATTCAATCATGTATTTTTTATATTTGTTTGAACGTGGTTTTATCCAAAAACCGAACGTACCGCACCCGAAAGAAACACCCTATTACTTAATAAGACGAATCCTCACATCATAGGATATACATTAAAAAATAATATCATTATCCATAGTATTTAAAGCAATTATTTTGACAATTTACACGCCTTACTAATAAATTTTATTTTTATTATTGATTTTTTTTACTTATTTAATTATAAAATTGTAATTATTCAAATTACAAACTTCTCAAAAAATATTTTAATTTCAAACCGCAATAAACATGGAAAGAAACCATATTAATTATAATTTATTATAATGAAAACCATGTTTTTCTTTTACCATTTAGTATTATTATGCTTCCCCTTTTAGTGGTTTCATGTCTTTTATAAAATAATTCATTGGGTTGATTTATATGCATAGTCAATGTATTTTGGTAACATTTTATTTAAATTATAAAATAATATATAAAATAATTTTTGCAACAAGAAAATAATAATATTAATTTTAATTGATAAACAAAGCAAATATTAGCCACAACAATAGTAATAATAATAGTAATTTCAGATGATAACAAAACAATGAAATTTAAAAATAGAGACCAACTTCAACTCAATAAAAATATTAGTCCTTTAAACCAAAATTTATTTTATTTTCCTGTAATAAAAATTAGCAACATATCATATACAAATCTTAATTACACGCAACATTAATTACAAGATGAGCGTTGTAATTAATTAATATATAAAATATCAAATACATTAACATATCTTTAATAATAAATTTGGATATTAAAATATCTTTTTGTACAGTATTATCTTTCAAAAGTAATAAATATATCAGATTCCATCCATTTTAAGAGTAAAACAAGGTAAAAATAAAATAAAATATTTTCGATTAAATGAAATAAATTAATTTAAAAAAATAGCATTTACCAAGTCAATATTAAAGATATTACACATTATTTAAGATTCGGTTGAGAAAAATAAAAAAGGAGAGAGAAAAGCGTGAAGATAACAGAAAAGAGGTATAAGTATGCACCTATACCTTCTCCCGCCACATACACCCAGATGCGAAGAAAGTGTATCAGAACTCACCTTTAGCCGCCACGTGTTCCTTCCCCCACACCCTTCTCAATCTCTCTCCGTATAACACTCCACACTACATTTCACCGTTACCCTCTCTTTTTTTTTTTTTTTAATTTCTTTCTTCGCATTTATTGTTTATGTATATATATACACAATATTCAGTTTTGTTTCTCTCTCTTTCTCTCTCGCTCGCTACCGCGAACTCGATCGGCATCGGCACCCACCCGAGGGGAAACGCGATTCCCTTTTCCCTTCGCTAAACAAACAAACTCCTCTTCAGGATTCCAATTCCATCCCTGTAAGATTTCTATTTTCCCCAATTTAGGGTTTCTCTCTCATTCCTCTTCTCCTATTTCTTCTTCTTCATCTTCCTCCTGCTTTCCTACGCGACTTTGCAAATTCTCTTCTTCTCCTTTTTCAACTCTTATATTATGTCCTTTTCCTTTTCCCTTTCAATCCTCAGGCCTATCTGTTGACGAGCCAAAAAAAAGAAAAAAGAAAAAAAGAAAGAGAGAGTAGGGATTTCCTTTTGTATTGTTTTGTTCTGTGGATAAATTCGATTCTGTTTTTGGTACTCTGATCATATTTTAGTTTTTAGAGAAATTATTATTGTCAATTGGGCTATTCGCAAGAAACTCTGTGAAGTTTTTGGTGCGTTGTTTTAGTTTGCCATCCGAAATCGAGGGTTTTCTTGTTAGATCTCTTCCAGTGCCACTTTTTTTTAATTTTTTGTGGTTTTAATTTTTTTTTTTTTTTTCTTCTTGTTCCGGTGTTGTTCCTTTTCTGGGAAGGAAAAGAAAAAAAAAAAAAAAAGACCTCGAGAAAAAAATTAGGGTTTGTTGGTTCTTTTAGGGTTGTGTACATACATAGGTAGATAGATACATGCGATGGCGTTGAATTTCTCCCATCGACCTATTTTTTCTGAGGATAATTTGGTTTCGCCGATGAGGATGGGGATTCCAGAGAAGAGTGGTGTTGAGAATTGCTTTGATTATGGAAGAGATAGGGGTGGTGGTGGTGCGAGTCACGATGACATTGTCGATCTTTTGCCTTCGGATCCCTTCGGCATGGACATCAGCACCACCTTCACTGCCCTCACCGGGTGGCTTGAGGATTTGGAGGATTATAGTGGTTATAGAAGGGATGAGCTTGGGGCGAGTGATAACAATTACCAGCTATTTGCTGGGTTGAATTTCATTTGGAGCAATGCTATGAGGTTCCATGCATGTGTTGAGGAGAAGATGGGGTTTGGCGAGTGTAGTTCTGTGAGTGATGATGGAGCTGCTGCTGCATCGAGCAATTTTGGGGTTGGATCTGCTTCTGATGCTGATGTATTGGGTTTGCCCGCCACTAGCGGGTCGGGTGATGTTGTGAGACGGGGTGGAGGAGGGAGTGGTTATGATGAGCTTGGAGGAGGAGGAGGAGGAGGTATGGGTGACGAGTTTGGTCCTCACCCTGCCTTGAGTTTTTCTCTTGGTTATCTGAGGTTGTCGGATCTTCTTGTTGTTGAAAGAGTGTGTAAATCTTTGCATTCCACGGTTCATGATGATCCGCTTTTGTGGAGGAGTATCCACGTGGATCAGCCTTTGAATGAGAGGATAACTGATGATGTTCTTTTTCGATTGGCTAACAGGGCTCAAGGTAATCTTCAGTCCTTGAGCCTTGTTGAATGTACCAGAATAACTGATGAAGGTTTGAGGCGGGTTCTTGAAAGCAATCCCAAATTGACCAAGGTGAGCATGCATTACCATTCTGTGTTTGTGAATTTCATTTTGAAACTGAAATTCATCTGAAGCGTGTCTTTTTGGTTTTACGTGTCTATAAATTTGGATAATGTCGGGTGTTGCTGTTGTTTTATTCTGATTTTATGTTGAATTCCTGCTTTTATACAGCAAGATATTTAAAAGTGCCTTTAGGGCACTGGTGAAGCAATTTTCAGTGAAAGTATGTTTTAGTAATGAATTTTGGTCGTGTTTTCTGGTACACTTTGAATGTCGTTCTCTATTTCTTTTTTATTTATTAATTTTTTGACCCTTATAAGGCACATGTCCATGAGCTTTTTTTTATATTTTATATGCCTGTAGATTGTGCGTGGAACACTTGCCTTTTCACCAACCTAAGTATTATTTATTATTTTGAATTTATTTTTCTGTTCCATTACAGAAAATTAATTTGGGGTTCTTTTAGAACTGTCTCTAGGATGTATGGATGTAAGTAGGTATGGGAAATGCTTGATTTTGTCCAAAACATTTAGGAAGTTTATCCTTGACCACAACTTTATATTTGTACTTGTAATTTGCTGACCTAACTGCCCTGTCCTTCTATTGTTTTGCTATTTGTATCCATTAATGAGCTGGTAATAAATAAGTGTGCTATACATTTTTGTTGTTGGTAAGAAATAAACCCATATTCTGAAGGGAAGGCATGAAATAAAAATGAATCATAGATCTAGTTGGGGCAAATTAATGGGTCATATGTCAACTTCGATTCATGCAAACTTATATTAATGTTTAGATATATTCATGTTAAATAATTCTTATGAATTTTTTTACCTATCTTGTCTTGTTAAAGTACTGTTTAGATGCATTCTGGTTAAATACTTCTTATGAAATTATATTAGGTTTGCTTATGTTTGTCATCGTATCATGTATGATGTGATTAATTGTTGGTCTGCTTGATAACCCTGGCTTGTCAACTGTTATTGTACTAACTCCCCTGAGCATTGAATACTTGAGAGCTCAGCCTTTTAACTTTCTGTCCATATTTTTTTAGTAACCATGTAAAATTTTACCCAAAACTTTGCAGTTGAGTGTTCCTGGGTGTACAAGACTCAGTATTGAGGGCATTGTGGGTATGTTAAAAGCCTACAACTCTGGAGGTACCCAAGGGGTGAAGCAGTTACACATAGGTGGTCTCTATGGTGTCACGCAGAAGCATTTTGAAGAGTTGAGGTTCTTGTTGGATGCTGATAGCCAGCAGCAGATGCAGCAATCTCACAAACCACATTTCTATCGCAGGGGAAATTTGTATCTGTCCTTTTATGATGACCGAGCTATGGATATTGAAGTTTGTCCACGATGCCAGAATTTGAGGCTTGTATACGATTGTCCGGCTGAGAGTTGTCAAGGGATGGGACACACCACTCAGATGTGCAGGGCATGCACTCTATGCATACCCCGGTGTAGTCAGTGTGGCCACTGTATCAATGACAGTGAATATGAGGAAACATTCTGCCTGGAGTTGCTTTGCTCTTCTTGTTCTAAGCAGCAAGTCAAATGTTCAGAAGGAAAGACTGGACCAGCTAAGTCAGTTTTTATTCATGAACAAAGCTAGAGTTCATGTCAAGGTATCTTGTGAAAGTCTGTGAGAAAGTTTTTTATGGAAGTCATATGAACCATTCGTTGGGTGCTGTTAGAGTTCTTTGGCGTTTGTAATTGGTCTTGGAGGTGGGATGCATTTGATGGGGAGTTTCCTTTATTAGAGAAAGTGGAAAAATGACTTCATTTTTGTGTTTCCGCAGCTACCAGAGTGTAACCTGCAGGAACCAAATCGATTACCATGATTATTGATCACCTTATTGCACACTATGGATTTTCAATTATATTGTGATTATGAGGTTATGAGGGCTGCAGTTGGGCGTTGTGCTTTGCAACGTTGCATTCGGATAACATTTGTGATTTTGGCTCTAATGCATAACCGGTTTGAACACTCTTGAACTTTAGACTTCTGGTTATTTTTTCATTAGCTGTACTGATAAATTGACTCTTGCCAGGTTGTGGTGTACGTACCCTGTTTATTTTCTTTTTTGCCATCCTTGGAGAAAAAAAATAAGGAAAGTGGTATTATGATGTCTTTAAATCCATGCTTATTTCCCTTTCAGCATTAGCTTGTATCAAATGAAATGCATTTACGGTGGACTTGGACCTGAAAATGAATAATATTTATTATCTACTTGAGTATTTTATGGGAAATCTGTTTTTCTGTTCATTGTTATTTTGGCCTCTTTGGCTCATTAAAGTGGATGAATGATTTTGTGTCCTTGCCTATGGAGGTATCCAAAAGTATAATGATATTTTAACTGTCGAAGAAACAAAACCCCATCCCGACTTCCCATTTTGCTTTTTCGCTTTATAATTAACATTTATCCAACATATAAATGTAAAGAATAAGATGTTTTGCTAAATGCGATTGGGCGAAACAGTTTGAGCACGACAGATTGATTGCATGAAACAAAATGTGAATGTGAAGAAATATAAATCTTTTACACCAAAACAGGATGTCTTGGTAGCGTAAACTGGCCTTCTATGAAAAGTTATTCGTTGCTGCACGGTTAAAATTAGTAAGTTGTTACTAGTGTTCAAGCATAAGAAAACGTACTTGGACAGCACGATATTACTCTTATTAAACTAGTTGCTTTCTGTTGCTCCCGGAATTGGATAAACCAAGGCATAACATAAATGAAAAGGTGTGGTAAAAGTCATTCAAAAACCTTAAACTACGACTGTGCTTGCTTTCACGTTCAAACCATCTAAACCCCCACTTGCATTCAGAATTTACCTCAAATTTTGGTAACATTTTCTCATTTCTGCATTGATAAAAAAGTGGCCCCATAATTTATTATTGTATCATTATTTTTATTATAAACCCCCACGCTTTTCCATATATAAAGGTGGTGTTGTTTTATATAATCTTAAATAAAATTCTTACTATAACTGTTTAATATAAAAGAATCTAAATCAAGTTATTCCAATCTCAGCTCTAACCAAAAGCAGGTCTGCAAAATCAAGTTTGTTAAAATCCAAGTTTGTAGATTATAATCTAAACAAGTTCTTTTTCGTCCACTCATTACCAACAAACGGTCAAAAGAAATACAAGACCTTTATTTTATCCAATTACCTTCTTAACCTAACTTGAAGTTAAATTTGATCAATGTTGTAGATCTATCCATCTGTTTAACATTCGAATGAGTTAAAAAAAATGTTTAGAGGAAGTGAGGGTGGTGGAATACAACGGATTTATGTCATTCAACAAGCCTGTTTAAGAAAGCACACTAGGATTCATGTGAATCCTGTCTTTGTCTAAATACTATAACAGGATCAGGGTTGTTATCCCCTTGATCCCCATGATAGCTCTCCATAGTCCTTTTTTTTTTTTATTTGAGAAATTCTGGATATAGAACATTCAGATTATTTTAGAATTATCTGTTTTCTTTCACCCAAATTAACAACATTCATTTGGTTAAAAATTATTTGATGTTGAATTTTAAATCCCAGTTAGTTTTAGATCTACGTATTACACGGGTTTGCCCACAAAATTATATTTTATTTATTTAGATTATGTTTTGACTTCATCATTTAAAACAAAATAAACAATCTAAAAAATCTATGACAAGAACGAAGTTTTTGCAAGATTTTAAAAAATTGTTGCTTTATAGATAAGACCAAAAAAATGTTACATTGCAATGAATATGAATAGAGAGAAAGAGACTATTTTGAATATGCAATCTACTTGCATGGCTAATAATACCTACTTGACCAGGTCTTTTTGCCAAAAACCTGGTTCAACAAATGATGGTTTTTCTTCTTCTGTCAAGTGCAGCTCAAGGCATGTGTAGGAGAAATAATTTTTGTTTAAAAAATATTGTACAGAGCTCAATAATAATTACATCATTGTCTCAAAAGGAAAAATATTTTTAAAATAAACCTCTTTGGAATTTTTGTAAAAAGAAAAAGAATGACAACAAAAATCTAAAAAAACTCCGAAGAGCTGTGTACAGATGTTAGCTTCAAAGAGCACTGTCTACAAATGCAGGTAGTTTTATGACAGGGCCCCAAAGACAGTACCTACAACTTCTCCCTCCAGTTTAGGCACCAAATCTCTCACAAATCAACTAACACATGTCGGGCAGTAAAAATATTTAGGATACAAAATGAATCAATAGCTTATCCAATTACTCGTGAACTTCAATCAACTAAAAAATTCAACATGGCCTGCAAGTTCTCTGCATAACAGCTTTGTTTCACTAGCCAACTTTATGCTTTTGGCAATTGCTAATCCTGTCTTTTTGTGCGTAGATGCAGGCTTATATGATTTCACCTCTTCTTCACGTCCCAACAGTAGAATTTCCCTTGCTGGAACCACATTTTCCCACCAAAACTCACGTAGAATCTCATGCATCAGGTTCCAATACTCACGCTCCCTCAGCACGCGAAATATAGTGCTTCCATTTGGCATCCAGCAGTACAAATCAACCCACTCACAATCCATTATCTCCATCTGCCCTTGCACTTGAGGCATGTAGTAAAAAGGCATGCTTGACCAAGGCAAGCCAGCCTCAGGTTTGCCCTTGTTATAAGGGCACTTAACTTCCAATAGTCCACCTTGTGGAGAGCACCCAAGAACACCATCTGGGGAGGCACCAAGCCAATCATAAGACTGCTTCGAATGAACTGCAAACCCCATTGAGCTCACTTCATTACCTGTGATCTTTTTATATTGTTCAATAGCTACCGGTTCGTTGAGCGTTCCCCATGCCATGGCACTATTCCTAGAAACTTCCATGATTTGTGCCTCTGATGCAAACACTTTCTCGTGCCACAACTCAAGGCGACGGCTCCCTTTCCAGAAGCCTAATGCCGTACTGAATGTGCTAGTAGTGAGCTTGTCCTTGCGAAGGGCAAACCACTCCTCTGACCGTTGGGGGACATTGGCCGGCGAAAGGTTGGAAGCCAATACTTGAAGGGGTGGTGAATGAACAATGATAGGGTCAACTAAGGAAATGAATGGTGAGGCACATATGGAAAATTTTCTCAACAGTCTTTTTGCATACTTTCTCTTAGGACATGGTGATACAAATGTTGTCCGGAGAACGCCACTGAATCTAATCACACTGGAACAAGTTGTTGCTGACATTGTCATCTCCATTAATTCCAAATTTCTCAGGACAAGATACCTGACAGAAATTAGGTGACAAAACAATATAGCCAACAAGTAAAGTATGTGAAAAGCTGTTTCTGTAGGATCCAGTTTCTCCATAAATATTTATAGAAGAAAATAACAAGTACAATAAATTAACCTTCTCCTATAGTTAAAATCGTCCAAAGTATCTCAAATTTTGGACAATTCAGAGGAGTTAACCCCTAAATATCGAAGTACATAATTTGATTTAAAACTGATTAGAAAAGTTTAAGTTGTTTTATCTTCTCATTTTCTTCTCTGTTATAAGTGTTTACAGGTTCAAACAAGCCCAAAATTTAAAATAAGAACAACAACTCATCACTTCAAAAACTATGAACATTTGGTAGTTGAAAACACCGCCAGCTGTTCTAATACTCATTCCCACACTCTCACAGAAACAAGACAGCATAACACAATAGAAATGCCAAAATTCGCCACATAAAAACATAACCCGAAATCAGACAACGGAAAACCTAAAAAAAATCATAGACGAAACCAACAATAACAACACTGACGAAAACACGTTTCTCACTCGTAACCACACACTCAAAATTGATTTCGAGGATGCTAAGGTAAACCTACTGCAAAACAAGAGTACCTGGGATCAATCGACGGTACAAATCCTTTGAATGATTTACAGAGGAATAGGGATTATACTCATCCGAGGCAGAGTGGGATGAATCAAGGCTGAAGCAACTAATTGAACTATAGGGGTACACAAATAGCAATCCAACAAGTTTTTTCTTCCTTTATTTGGGCCACCTGAGCCCTTCCTTTATTATTGGTCTGGGCCTAAAAAGAACCAAATTCGGTACAAAATTGTTTATAAGGTTTGTGTTTCTTTTTAGTATTTTGGTTCGTATTCAAATTTGTTGTCCCTGCAAAACATCCTTTTAAGTGGTAAGAAAGATTAAGGTTTGGAAAAATGAAATTAAAGATTAAAAAAGTTAATTGACTTGTCAAAGTGTATATCTATTATTATATGTAGAAGTATAGATAATGAAGGTAGAGAGAGTAAGGTGGTATTGGATTTGAATCTCATTATGTGGACATTATGACATCATTGTAGACCATTCTCTCCTTCTAACCTGGACAATTTCACAATTTGTCATTTTTCTTAGAATTCTGAAACCAATAACCGAATCGGACAAGATAACTGTGTGTATGGATTCTTCTGAGAAATTATGTCCGGTCTTCCTCTCTTCTTCTTCATCCACATGGCTGCCTCCAACCCATCACGTGATAATATTCTCATCAATCACAACATTCTACTTCTTATTACTCCTCCCACTACTAAATCTTTTAGTCATCATCCAAAACTTGGAGTTTTATTCATCACCAAGTCAACCATAAGAAATATTAGTTTCTAAATACCTATTAATACTTTCAATTTTTTAAAGTAAATCAGTTCAATTTTAAGACCGAATTATATTTTTTCCGATGATAAATTAAAATAGATAAAAATAATAATTTAATTAATTAGATTTTAATTGTGTTTTTATCTAAATTATGGAATTCTTAATATATAACATTAAATTAAATAAATAATAATCACTATTAATAATATAAATTATTATTTGAATAGCTGATAAATTCTTATAAATAATATTTTTATTTTTATTTATATATATATTTAAAATAATTCTTTGTTTATTTTTTAAATTCATATTTTTATAATAACTTAAGTATTATAATATTCTTACCGGTGTATCTTTTTTTTTAAGTATAAAATAGAGTTTATTGTATAAAACTTGACGAGTTGTTATGGCGGACCTATTCTAACTTTTTTTAATGGATTTTAAAAATTTAAAAATAATTTTTTTATAAAAAATAATTTAATTTGAAATTTTAAAAATATTCTTACACATAAAGATGTAAAAAAACAAATTCTTTAAAATAAAATTGAAGACACTTTAAAAATTTTAAAATGTGTGGATGAAAGAGTTAGTAACCAATAATTTTGATTGAATGAATTAAGAATCAACCAAACAACCCCTTACCTCTTGACAATTATCTATAGTTAAGTATGAATATATTAATTTTCTTTAGAATAAATTGTAATTACATTAAATGTAGCTTTGCATTTTTATTTTTTTTAATGAACGTTCAAGTTCTTCAAAGATATTAGTTCTTCTTTTCATGAAACCTTATCTTTATTCTTCTAGTTATAAATGATGATTAATCTTTTATTTGTTTTTATCTTTTAATCTTAAAAGTAGTCCATTCTTCATCTTATATCTTTTTCAATATTTTTCTTTTTTTCTTAATTATATTCTTAAAAGTAATATTATCTTTTTAGATGGTATGAAATTGAAAAAGAAAGTTTTCCTTAGACAATCATTTCACTAACTCTTTAGACAATATCACATCATCTATTTCTAAATTCTTCTTACTCATTATATTTGATATATTATCTATTACAATTTTCCTAATCATTTGTATTTTTATCTATTAAAAATATTAATAGATTAAAGAAAAAAATATATTTATAAATTATTTTTTTAGTTCAATTAATATTATGAAACTTTTTATTGGAGGGAATAATAATACATGTAATTTAGTTGAGTTGGATTGAATTTGGTTAAATATGTTATTAATATTATCAAAATATATTTCAATTAGATTAAATTTTTAAGTATTAGTTTTTCTCTATCGAATAAAAACCAAACTTACTCTATGAATCACATATTGGATTATGTCAAATAGTTTGAAAACTTTAATATTTTACAACTTTTCTAAGTCATTATACATAATAAAAAAAAACCAAAAAATTTAAAAATAATTGAAAAATACCACATAAAACAAAGAATATTAAGTTGATAAATTCGAAAAATAAAATTTGTTATTTAAACCAAAAGTGAACTCCAAATCTAAACCAAGTGAGTGTCTACTAAACCTCCGCTGAGAATTTAAATATAAGTTAAAGTTTTACATGGATTATAAATGAGAAAGTTGAATAATTTATAAGTGAAAAATATTCATAATTTAATATTTTAAAATTTTAGATTGAAGGTGTGTTATATTCTCATATGTAATTGACTCATGTTTCATTATGAGAATCTTCTTGTTATTAATCCAAAAAAACCTAAAGAACCATAGGATATTCAAAAGTCTTTAAATAAAACCTTTTGTTCTAAAATTGGTTGGAATTAGAATTTTCTTTAACAAAATTTGTCTAGAATAACTCATAAATATTCTCAAAATATACTTGTAAAGTATTCTAAATAAAATTGCCTTAAATAAAATATTTATAAATTATTGTCAATATCAGTCTACATTATGAGAGATTTTGGCAAGACAAACCAATTTCATTTTATCTTTCTAACTTGTATAAATAGAGTGGTGATATTTTAACCATCGAAACCATATAATTCTTCAAACAACTCATTTTTATTAATATAATAATCTATCGAATGATTTAATAAAAATAAAAATAAATTAAAATTATTATTATAATATTAAAATAGAGTTGTTTATAGGAGTTGTATAGATTTAAGTTTTGAAAGAATCATTTTTTTCTTTTGTATATTATGCCTTCCTATTTGTCATTTTGTGTTTCTTTGTGTTTCTTTAATTTAACTTGACAATGCCAACCATCGCTGCAACAACTCTAGTGGGCCAACTCTGGATGGCATCCTGTTCTTTATTGATGGGGTTGTATACCAACACCATATTCCAGATGCATGGCATGTGCATCAACTTTTCTTATTTGATTCTATTCTTTATACTACTTTTATTTCTAATCATGACTGTGTCCTTATGCTATCCTGAAACTTTATTTTTTTATTTTTTATTTTTTGAATTTGGAGCAGTGTGCTTGTTGAAACTCTTGCATGAATGTGTAGTTGCATGGCTCTGGAGTCTACACTTACCCAAAATGGGTTATATTAATGTTAGTGGGATTTGTTATACCATTGACTATTAATACAATTTAACAAGTTCAATACTTAAAAATAAATAAATAAATATGTAATTTAATTATATTATAATATATAGAATATAATATAAATAATAAATAATAAAAAATAATTAATTATTCATTATTTCATTCATTAATTAAATATTAATCTTATTGAAACTAAACAAATGGGAGTTTACAGCAGCAAGGCTTGGTAAATGGTAGTTTGACTTATGATGGTTGGGTGAGAAAAAGAGTTTGTTTCTTAAACTTTGGAAAACTTATTCATGGTGTGATGAATGCAGTCCCAAGGGTTCAACGGTGGCCAGAAATGTTGATGAATTCATGATTTATGCTTATTAGCAAAAGGATGGCGCCATAATGGTGCATTAATAATGGAAACAATGATTCGGATCAGACAGGTGAAATGAGTCAGCAGAACTTGCATTAAGCCAAAATTAATCACGTGTTAGATGGAGGGTGGGCCCCTCGAGAGTCGCACGCAACAACCCCGCGTAACTGTTTGCGTGACACACGTCAACGTCCAACAACACATGAATCCACACCGCCACGTCATCTCATGTACGTACGTGAGACTCGTGACATGGATCTTTCTTTTCTTGCTCCAAAAAGAGAGAGACACATGCATCTATATACGCTCCCACAATATCCACTCCCCTAGTTATAGTTTTGTGTTTCTATGTATTCTTTTATTTCTTTTTTTTTTTTTTTTAAATCTAAACAATACTATAGTTGAGTCGATTTTTTTTTTTACAAGGGAATATTTATTACAAAGAGAAGGTTTGGTATGAAATTGAAGTATTTAACCTACCAAAACTCCATTTCTAAACGCTTCAATAACAATGGAATATATATATGAGACATTCTTCAAATGTGTGTTTAATAATCCCTTCCAAAACTGAAATATAAAGATAAATATTAGCCCTAAAAGCATGGGACCCTAATCTAACAAACCATGTGACAAGTGTGATCAGTGAAATAAATTATTGCATAAAGAACCCTTGTCTTTTTCTTCATGTACTTAAAGTTTTGTTTCTCAACCTTTGCCCTCCACTCACCATCATAACATATAGTAATTAAATATATGCATTATTTAATCAATGAATATATATTGCATGCTTCCATCCAAAATGCTGCCACAATAACAGGCTACAGGACGTACTACTACTATGTATTTGTCAGTTTTTTTGTTTTTTATTTTATTTTATTAAAGTTGTAATTTATAGAAATAAACTATAATATATAGAAGAATTTGTGAAGTGTTTTGTACATCAACTTTGCTAAAAATTATATAATTTTGTGAAGAGTTTGTCAAACAGGTAAAGTGATTTTCACGTTGGAAAAATTGGAAACACAACTAAGGGCTTATTTTCAAATATTTTTAGCTTTTATGCTTGTATTTATTATTATTTTTTATTATTTCTTAACAAAATAATTTTTTTGCACAGATCAGCATTTTATTAATTATAGACTGCATGAAATTTTTAAAAAACTCTTGGTATGGTAGTTTTAAGTTGTTTCTTTATTTTTATTTTTTTAAAACTGATATTATATGTGAGAATAATTTTTAAAACATATAAAAGATAAGGATTTTTAAAAATATATAAATATATATTCTTATTTTTGAAAAAAAAGTTAAATATAAAACCAAATAAGGTCAAAGCAAAACAAAGTCGCCAATAGAAGTCATCCATAGAAAATTAGAAAGAGGCGGCTTCATCGGCGCACAAGTGGAAGGTGTGCTTGACTTAGGTCCGTTTTTTTTTTTTATTAATTATTTTAATAATAATAATAATAATAATATTTTATTTTAATAATATATATAATTGATTTGATTTTAAAATTTATTGTAATCATGATTAATTATTTTTATAATAATTTAAAAATAATATATTTTAAAAAAAATAAACAGAAATTACAACTATGACATATATAAAATCAACGTTTTTTTATATTAAATTATGTAAATGTTTCCAACCACAACTAATAAGTCTCAAGTTATCCAAAGATTCTGGTATCAAATAATTAGTTGTTAGTTTTTGTGAAAGTAACTTTCTTTTCTAAAGAATAGGATTTTTTTTCAATATGTACAAATTAGTTTCTTATTAATAAAATTTTATAATTTTTCATCTTGTAATTATTTTTTATATAAACAAGTTATAAAAAAAAAATCATTGGTTCATGAAAGATGTTTTAACTCTGACCCTAAATTTGAAAATTACAAAAAGCAAAACTAATGTTTAAAGATTTGATTATTTTTAAATTTTTGAATGAGTTTATTTTGAATTATTTTATTTTATTTAATTATTATTTATATTTATAGATTCAGTAAATTATAAAATAAAAAATGAAAAATGATGAATATATAAAAATATTAAATTATCAAAGTAATTACATATAATTCGATAAGAGATTACCCTATTGAAGATGAATAATTATATATATATATATATATATATATATATATATATATATATATATATATATATATATATATATATATATTATAAGGACAACTTTAAATAAGACGAGAAAAAAATATAATCCAGAGAAAATTGAATAGGAAGTTATAACATTTAAAAAATAAAATACTAATACATTATAAAAAAAATGTGTAAAAGAATTTAAATAATTTCATAAACACAACTTCCGACAAATTTTCTATTATTTTTTAAAATAATTCTTTGAACTTTTATTTCTTTTATATTAATAAAATATAGACACTGTGTTCATATTTTTAAAAATTTATTTTAATTTCTATTTCAATTTTTAAATATATATTTTTTTCATTAATTATGCATTATATATTCTTTTCTTTCATACATTTATTTATTTTTTAAATATATAAATAAACTTTTAAATTATAATACTTTTATTTTATTTTATGATAATATAAAAATACAGTTACAACTAAAAATTTCCGTAATCATAGATTAATTTGTTTTACATTCTTTATTCAGGTTACATGTTTTTTCTTAATTTTTTGTATTTTTTCATTTTTTTAAATATATAATATTATACTAACTTTTTATATATATTTTTTTTGAAGTCCATCATCGTTAGACTCCATATTTAAAAAGTAGCAATTAATTAATTTTTACTTTTATTAATAAATTTTAAAATAAAGAACAAATTTAATTCTACTTCTCTTACGTGGTCTCAATTTTCCACAACCTTCCAAAGAATGAGAAAATTGACCCAAGGCAAATCAAAATTTGTTTGGTACCCCTTTCTGTCTTTTCCTATAAATTCCTTCATTTCACTTTCCTTCCCTCCACAATAAGACCAACACGTCGTTAAATGTAAGATATGTATCATGTTATTTACTATTGATTTTTCTATACTTATCCATGTTTAGTAGGTGACAAATCAAAATTTTTATTTTACTTAATGAATTTAGCTTTTTTTAACTAAATAAATTTATTTATTTTATTTTTAAAAATATTCTCTTTAAAAAAATTTGGAATAAACTATATTTAGTTTAGACATTGATTAAAATAGTTTTAAATGTATTATTATTATTAAATTTTTCTTTAATTCTCTGTCAATTTTATATAACGAAGATTTTTGTCAAGTTTATAAATATTTTTTTAATTATAAGATATATTTAAAGATAAAATTATTTATAAATATTTTTTAATTATAGAGATATATTTAAAACTAAAATTATAATGAATTAGTCTTATATTATAATAGTAATATTAGTTCACATATAAAATATTAATTTTTTTAATCTCTTAGTTAATAACTAAGAAATTATATTTTCCTATACAATTATAAACGTCACGCTTTATTTTTTTTCTTATAATCATCAATCTATTTTTTAAGAATCAAATTGTAACAAATTAAAATAATAGAAAAAAATACATTGATGTGATGATGAAATAATATTATAATAATACTATAATATCGGAGAGATGAAAAATTCTTATTCTTTATTTTATTTATTTTATAACAGTTTTTAATTTTAATATAATTTTTTAACTTTAGACATGTTTAATCTTAAAAGTTAAAATCAAAACTGTATAGAAAATATAAATATAGAGAAAAAGAAAAAAAGTGAAATTGTACATGAAATTTAAAGATAAAATTATAATTTAATATTTTTATATATATAAATCTATCCGTTTGTGCAAAAGGAAAAATGAAAAACATTGTAACAAATGAAGCTTTATTAATTAAATTTATTAATTAAATTAAATATATGTTTATTTAATATTAAAATATTGTAAAAATAAGGATAAATTAATTTTGAAAGATTGTGGATACGAAATCAGGTTTAACAATGACAGACATCACGTCCCGACATCACACGTTCAACCATTTTCAATAACCAAAAATACAGAGTATATATAGAAGTGGAAGAGATATGATGAAATAAAGTGATGTGAATTATAATACGATGAAAAATAAAAAAATAGAGATATTTTTTTAAAATTAATAGAAATACATGTTTATTAGAACTCTTTGACTAGTAATTCACATATTTAAAGGAATTAGTGCGATTTATCTTGCCTGAGTATTATTTTTATAATATATAAATATAAATTTTATATATATTATAATTTTAACTTATATATATATATATATAAATTTTAATTATATAAAGATACGTGTTACTGTATAAATAGTTGATTTAAAAATGTATCTAAAATTGATTATAAATTTTTTAAATAAAATTATTAATAGAATATCTAGATTTAATATAGAATACTGTATAAATAGTTGATTTAAAAATGTATTTAAAATTGATTATAAATTTTTTAAATAAAATTATTAATAGAATATCTAGATTTAATATAGAATAACAAAGTATTTTTTATTTATTATTAAATAGAAAAATAATGATTAGTAGAATAACATTTATGATAAACCTAAATAAATAATAAAATGATTATTTTGAATTATACATACTCTACGTATTTTATATTATTAGTTGACTAATTAGGTAAGTGCTTAATACACATGTTCGTGCCTAAAATCTGTTATCAAATATTTCTGTGATTGAGACAGTATTTTGGCTATTACAAATTTATAATTTTTTTTTTATAATTATTGTCGAACCCTTCTATTTTGTAATAATAATAATCTGTTATTGTATTTACATGTAAAAAGACAAAAATAGTAATACAAATCCACCATAATGATAATGAAATAAACGAAGTTAGAGAAATAGAGAAATAAATTTAATAAAATTGTATTTAATGAAATCAGTTAGTTAATAGTAAATATTTTGATACATGAGTGTGATTTTGTTGAGTTGTTGTTCATGTCCATGTGTCTGGTGAGCTCCATTTATATTCCGTGGTTTGGATTATCATCATCATTCTATCTCTATCAGTATCCACTGCCTACTACCGACTACCGTCAATCATCCCTAACACATGTAAATTCTCCTTTGGCTTCCTTCCAATTTTCACACCAAGGAGTACCAACACTTTTCGTTTTTTAACCCATTATGCTTTTCTTTTCTTCATCGGTTTCCCTTTCTTCTTTTTTTCATTTGGGTAAATGAATAACATAACACATTCTCTGTGTTCTGCAGATTCTGCCTTCTTTTCTTCATCATTACACTATCACTGAAAACCACGACCGAGGAAATAATTATGGTCCTTTTGGATGCGGTGTTGGGAACGTTCAATGTGGCATTCTTTTATGTCATTTTGATATGGGTTTTGGTGGATAGCTTGAGACAAAGCAAGCTTAGCCGTGTTCCTGATGGGTATTTCAAGCGAGGAGCAATGATTTTTTCTCTGTTCTCTGTTTTATCTTGCGGTGTTATTTCCGTAATGAACATGACTCTTGTTTTTCATCATTATGGCTCTACGAGAGTCATAGGATTTAACTCGGTTTCATTGACACTCACTTGGGTTTTGGCTACTGTGGTTTCGTTTTATTCTGTGAAGACCGGAGTGAGGGAGAGTAAAAAGTTTCCCCTTGTGCTCGTACTATGGTGGGTTTTTGCTTCTCTCGTGGATGCAATCTCTCTGTCTATTAGGCTGGTGAAAGATTTAGAAGCAATCGACTTGCGGTTTTTCTTGTCAGAGGATAATGTAGTTGGCTCATTTTCCTTGCCTTTGTCGCTGCTTCTTTGCTTCAATGTTTGTAAAAGGGAGCACAGTGACATGGAAGAGGGGTTGCTTCAGAAAGAGAAGGAGGAGTGTTTCATGGAGGAACACCGTGACGAGGCCTTTAGTGATACAAGTGTGTGGAACAAGCTTACATTCCGTTGGTTGAATCCCATTTTCAAAACGGGTCGGATTAAAAAGCTTGAACTTTCTGATATTCCTCCTGTTCCTTGTTCTGAATCGGCGGAAAATGCTTCTTCCATGTTGGAAGGGTCACTCCGCAAACAGAAACTAGGAGAGAGTTCCTTGACAAAGGCTATTGCCAATTCTGTGTGGAAATCTTTAGCCTTAAATGCAGTATTAGCTGGTATATTTTATATTTTATTCACTGTCACTAGTACCGTTCCTCTTTGGTTTTTGTGCATCTATATTCATCTTTAGTCATTCATGTATTGGATTGTTAATTTATATTTTTATGTTTTATTTACACCTGTATTGTAGGTGTTAACACAGGTGCCTCCTATATAGGTCCATTGTTGATCACAAATTTTGTGAATTTTTTATTGGGGAATAATGGCGATTCAAGCGTTCAATATGGATTGGTTCTTGCATTTGTTTTCTTCCTCGCAAAGACCGTAGAGTCACTGAGTCAAAGACAATGGTACTTTGGCGCTCAACGAATTGGAATCCGGGTGCGCGCAGCTCTTATATCTCTAATTTATGGCAAGTCCTTGATGATGAAGTTTGCTGGACCAACACAAGGTAAAATCATCAATCTGATTAATGTGGATGTGGAAAGAATTGGGGACTTCTGCTGGTACATTCATGGAGTTTGGTTGCTTCCAGTTCAGGTCATTTTAGCCTTGGTCATCTTATACATAAATCTGGGTTATATCCCTTCTTTTGCTGCATTTGGTGTCACCATTTTGGTCATGGTGTGTAACACACCTTTGGCCAATAAGCAAGAGGGTTTGCACTCTAAGATTATGGAAGCTAAGGATTCAAGAATCAAAATGACATCAGAGACCATGAAAAACATAAGAATTTTAAAATTGCATTCATGGGAGACCTCTTTCTTGCAGAAACTCCTCCAACTTAGGGAAACTGAGAAGGCGTGGCTGCAGAAATACCTCTATACATGCTCAGCAATAGCCACACTATTCTGGACATCACCAACTTTAGTTTCTGTCGTTACCTTTGGTGCTTGTATACTAGTGAAAACAGAACTAACAGCAGCTACAGTACTCTCAGCTTTAGCAACTTTTCGTATTTTGCAAGAACCAATCTATAACTTACCTGAACTTATCTCCATGATCATTCAAACAAAAGTATCTGTCGATCGAATCCAAGAGTTTCTTAAGGAAGATGATCAAAACCAATTCATAGATAGGCACACTTCAAAAAATTCATCCGTTGCAATTGAAATTAAGGCAGGGGAATATGCATGGGAAATAAACGATCAAACCCACAAGAAACCAACTATTCAAATTACAAGAAAATTAGTGATAAAGAAAGGTCAGAAGGTAGCAGTTTGTGGGTCAGTCGGGTCTGGAAAATCAAGCTTGCTGTGCTGTATTCTTGGGGAGATTCCATTAGTATCTGGGGCAGCAACCAAAGTCTACGGGACTAGAAGTTATGTGCCCCAAAGTCCTTGGATTCAGTCTGGAACCGTAAGAGAGAATATATTGTTTGGCAAGCAAATGAACAATGACTTTTACGAAGTTGTTTTGGATGGCTGTGCTTTGCACCAGGACATCAACTTGTGGGGTGATGGAGATTTGAACCTGGTGGAGGAGAGGGGCATAAACTTGAGTGGTGGGCAGAAACAGCGGATTCAGTTGGCAAGGGCTGTTTATAATGATTCAGATATATATTTCCTTGATGATCCTTTTAGTGCCGTGGATGCTCTTACTGGAAGTCATTTGTTTAAGGTAAGTACTGCTAATGATTAGTGTATATGCGTTTCTCACTGATGCACTTTCTGATGTAACGTTCATTTTTTAAGATAAACTTTACCGATAATTCGAAATCCTGTGCAGAAATGTCTCATGAAACTTTTATATGATAAAACGGTTGTTTATGCTACTCATCAACTGGAATTCTTGGAATCTGCAGACCTCATTTTGGTAAGCCATTGAACACTGCTCTTTTAGAGGAGGATTTCACTTTGCAAGTTTTTGACCCTTCACCATTAATATAAATTTTGGCAGGTGATGAAAGATGGAAAAATAGTGGAGTCAGGAAGATATAAAGATCTTATAGCATGTCCCAATTCTGAACTTGTTCAACAAATGGCAGCTCACCAAGAAACAGTACACCAAATAAACCCAAGCCAAGAAGATGATTCTGCTGCTAGCTGCAGACCCTACCAAAAAAATCAAATTGAAGTTGATCAGGAAAATATTCAAGAGATCATGGAAGATTGGAAGAGAAACAAAGAAGAGCAAACAGAGACTGGTCGAGTGAAATGGAGTGTTTACTCAACTTTTGTCAAATCTGCTTATAAAGGAGCACTTGTTCCGGTTATTCTTATCTGCCAAATCCTCTTTCAAGTAATGCAAATGGGAAGCAATTATTGGATGTCATGGGCTACGGAGCAGAGGGGCAGGGTCAACAACAAGCAGCTAATGGAAACATTTGTTCTTCTATCTTGTGGGGGCACCATCTTCATACTGGGAAGGACCGTTTTAATGGCAGCTGTTGCTGTAGAAACTGCTCAACGCCTTTTTCATGGAATGATCATATCAGTTTTCCGGGCACCTGTTTCATTTTTTGACACCACACCCTCAAGCCGAATTCTGAGTAGGGTAAGTTTCACTAAATTTGCTATCTATTGATTAATATAAGCTTCAATCATATTTTAACCATTCTCTTTGTGATGATTACAGTCATCAACAGATCAAAGTACAGTAGACACAGATATACCATATAGATTAGCTGGACTAGTATTTGCACTGATACAGTTATTAAGTATCATTGTACTAATGTCCCAAGTTGCCTGGCAAATCATTCTCCTCTTTTTTGTGGTGCTTGCTATTTCCATTTGGTATCAGGTAAGAACTATTTCAATCTTTGACAATGCACAAGTATTAAATAATTTCTAAGCCTCATGTTGTCAAATCTTTTCACGTGCTAACTCAAAGAAGTTATTTACTTTTGCAGTCTTATTACATCACAACAGCCAGGGAACTAGCTAGGATGGTAGGGATTCGAAAGTCTCCAATCTTGCATCACTTCTCAGAATCAATTGCTGGGGCTGCCACAATTCGTTGTTTCAATCAAGAGCAAATATTCTTGACCAAGGTTAAGGTTCTAATAGACGATTATTCTCGGGTAGCCTTTTACAATTTCGGCACCATGGAATGGTTGTCTGTACGAATCAATTTCCTCTTCAATTTGGTCTTCTATTTTGTTCTCGTCATATTGGTTACTCTTCCAAGGTCTACCATTGATCCAAGTAAGCCCCTTCTTCCTCTACACATCTTATCAGCAGTGATAGCAGTTATTTGCATGGATGTGAGAACCACTTTTCTACTACGTTAGTTAAGAAGCTCTAAAGAGGAACACTTACATGTTGTTTATTAACTTCGGGTTAAAACTTTACAACCAAAAAGAAAGCTAATTTTGCAGAAAATTAGCTTTTTTGTATTAGATCCTTTTGGATGTACTGTGATGCGTGTTACTTTATGATTGATCTATCTGGCAGCTTCGTGATTGGCATATGCTTTTAACTGTCATCAAATGAAATGATTAAGATTAGATCCACCAGCAGCAGTTATATATGAAATGATAAGTCTCTTCTTCTGATTTTCAGGCTTGGCAGGTCTGGTAGCTACTTATGGTTTGAACTTGAATGTCCTACAGGCTTGGGTGATATGGAATCTTTGCAATGTTGAGAACAAAATGATATCGGTTGAGAGAATATTGCAATTCTCTAGCATACCCAGTGAAGCACCCTTAATTATTAAAGATTGCAGACCTGAACAAGAGTGGCCAAAGGAAGGAAATGTTAAACTACGTAACCTTCATATACGGTATGATCCTGCTGCTCCCATGGTTCTCAAAGGCGTCACTTGTGTCTTCCCAGGACAAAAGAAAATTGGTATAGTAGGCAGGACAGGGAGTGGAAAATCTACTCTTGTGCAAGCTCTCTTTCGAGTGGTTGAGCCTTTGGAAGGAAGTATACTTATTGATGGTGTAGATATTTCCAAGATTGGTCTGCAAGATTTAAGATCTAAGCTTGGTATAATTCCTCAGGATCCGACCTTGTTTCTAGGTACTGTAAGGACTAACTTGGATCCTCTAGAACAACACGCAGATCAAGAACTTTGGGAGGTTAGCATTAGCAGTTAGAACACTTTCTTGAAAATGCCAATGTTTATATTATTACTGAAAGAACTGCTCTTTTCAGGTTCTCAGCAAGTGCCATCTAGCTGAAATAGTAAGGCGGGATCCAAGACTTCTTGATGCACCAGGTATAAATATTTCTGTTTAAAAAAATTGCACCATTCAGCAGTATGACTTTAATAACTGTCCCACTACAGTTTGGTACTTTTTACTCCCCAATACTGCCATTGATATGCAATATTCTTTCACTGATGTAGTGGCCGAGAATGGAGAAAATTGGAGTGTTGGACAAAGGCAGCTTGTTTGCCTTGCTAGGCTACTGCTGAAGAAAAGAAGGATTTTGGTCCTAGATGAAGCTACGGCATCCATTGACACTGCAACTGACAATTTAATTCAGAAGACAATTAGGGAAGAAACAAGTGGATGTACAGTCATTACAGTAGCACATAGAATTCCGACAGTTATTGATACTGATTTAGTTTTGGTCCTTGATGAAGGTACTACTTTTACTTGCAGAATCAGCATGTGCTTAAATATATGTGATCATACCAAAAGGATGGAAAACCTTTTCTCATAACCAAGCATATCATCCATAATGTTCTGTTCAAATTAAATTGAAGTTTTAAAGTATGGCAGCATATTTTGTCACCCTTTTGTTTAAGTGCTAACAAGCACAACTATTTTGATGTGTACAGGGACAATTGCAGAGTATGATGACCCTGCTAAATTGCTGCAGAACAGTTCTTCTTCGTTCTCAAAGTTAGTTTCAGAATTTTTGCGGAGATCATCCCAAAGTAATTTCCAAAACAGATAAAGAATAAGGACACAAGAAGTCATATTGTCAGGAGGATGGTATAGCAGTAACAGACGACAATACTGTACATAGAGAAAAGCTTTCTTGAGTTGGACGACAGCTCAAGAAACACTGATTACATTAGCAACATAGGGATTAAGTTAGCTTAGATTTGGGGCTCCTAATCGTAGTATATTCTTAGTTGCCGTTCTCCTGTCACGAACTGGGCTGCTTTTCAAACCAAATTTTCCTTTTCCATTATATATACGTTTTTCAATTGATGATTGTTTCCATAGCTTCGATAATGTTTCGTGCAAAATCTTTTATACTGTTTGTGAAAGCTCTGAATTTGGAATTTTAGAGTCCTGGAGGAAGCTTAGCAGATCTTTTGTTGTTTTATATTCATTTAATTTAAGCCATCAACAAGCTCCAAGACACCGTTATGGTCAAAATATTATGAGCTAGTATTTAAAAAATGAGGTAACTTTTATTTTAATCTTAATTATTATTGTTAAATTTAATGTAATGTTATTGATTCATACTTACTTGGTCTCAAGATTGAAAAGAAAGAGAGAAATGACATTGTTTATGAAATGCGGGGTTTCACGATTTATTTCCTGCATAAGAAATGCAGTTGTAGGTCATAACACAAGTGTCTCCAATGTAGGATCCTTATTGATCACAGATTTTGTGAATTTTTTATAGGGGGATAATGGTAATTCTAGCAGAATCCAACATGGATTGCTGCTTGCATTTATTTTGTCCAAAGAAACGAGTCAAAGGCAATGGTACAGTCTTTGGTGCTTACCTAATTGGAGTTGTAGGAAAGTTAGTGATAAAGAAAGGTCAGAAAATAGCAGTTTTGGGTTAGAGGGGTCTGACAAATCAAGATTGTTCTGTTGTATGTTTTGGTGAGATTTCATTATCATGGAGATCAGCTCAGGAAAGTTGTAGATAGGTTATTGCCGAAATATGAAAAGTTGTAAAACCTGAGAGGACTGTACTCACTAGTATACAACAACCAACCAAAAGTGACAACAGAAACTGAAGTTGGTGATGCCTAGATTATGTGGCTGGCCACTGAAGTTTTAAGAGTTTCAGCAAGAATCTAGGTTCCATAAATGCAATTTTAAAATTCTCATGTTTTTCATGGTCTCAGATGTCTCTTTGATTCTTGAATCCTCTGCTTCAATGGTCGTGGTGTGAAAACATTTTTGCATACATACACACCATGACCAAAATGGACACCAAAGTTGTTTCATGTAATAAATCAACCAAATAATTTAACAAACAATAATTCAAACTCTCGCAATCATATAATAATAACAATGATAAAATGTTTAAATGATAGAATATGTTAACTCCTGTTTATCAGTGTCCATGTACCTAATATTCCAGTTGGATGAACTTCTTGAACCTTCTGGCCCACCTTTGATGTTCCCATCCTTTCGAACACAAAACACACCCTCAAAAAGCACCACAGTCCATAACCATAGAGCAGAACAATGAGCATTGGTTATATAAAGATGGCAGAGGACAGGTTCTGGTTTCTGACACATAATATAATAAGTCATGGAGTATATTTGGAGCTGACGACACCGACGCGTAGACATGCATGCACTGGACTGGTATAGACAGTACTCTATACAACCAAATCAATTATCAATTAGATATACATTGACAGTCCTGTTAACCAATCCGAATAGGATCTCACGCAGTTTTTAATGAAATAGCAGGGTGTGCAGTTATTAATCCCACCCTTAAAATGTTCTTATTATAACGTTTTCAAGCATGCACAAAACACTATCAAACACTTTCCATGCATGGTGAGTAAATTTGTCTATAATAACCATTAAAAAGTTAACTTCCTGTTAATCATGAGATAAATTTTAACATAAAAGTATATGGTTAAAGAACTTACAACATGACCAGCGCATGACCAGCGCGACAAAGAAAATGAATTTTAACGTAAAAGTATATGGTTAAAGAACTTACAACATGAACATTCAAGAATCACACTTCCTCGTTCAAATCCAATACCAAAGAGAATGAAGCCAAATTTGATTTGAATTTTTCTGTTTTAGTTTGAATTTACGATTCATTTCATTATAATTTTTTGTCCTCTCTCCTGTAGGCCAACAACTTTATTGGAAAATTATTTTAAGATAAATGAGAATTTCATCTTGAAAAAAATATTTGTGTTAATGATTTCTTCTTCATGCGACACGATTCTTCCATCTTTTAAATATTTTCTTCTTTATCTTAGTTTATTATTCTTTTCTAATTTTGTTCTTACATCTTCTACCTCACATTTATTCTTCTCTTGGATCATGTTGTTGTTATTTTGTTATTTTTCTTCATATTGTTTCATTAGAAACATCCACACTTGTTTAAAAAATTTAATTTGTGTTTAACGACAATTGATGAAATAATTTTTTATTTTCCTCTTTCTTGTTTAATTATAAACCTTCTAAATTGTCTATGAGATTAAACTTGTGTTGTGATGAAATTCTAATAATTAAATCTTCAAAACATTAAAGCAATTGCATCTAAATCTAAAAATATTCCATTTCTAGGTTAGACTTTATAATTTGGTAATCAAGCTTTGGTTAATATTTGGAAAACAATAAGCATTTGGTTTAAACTTGAATGATCAAACATGTATGGGTTTCATCCCTAAATCATCAAATTTATGAGAAGGTTAGTATTTTCATCACAAATTTGATTTCTCTTACTATTTTTTTATCAGAATCATCCATATTGTTTCATTGATATCAATAACTTGTTGTAGCTTTCTTGCGTTTTGAGTTATTAATTATACGATAAACATGTTCAATAAATGATGTTGTGAATTAATTTGGATGATTAGCATTTTTATAATCAAAATAATGTTGTTCACTGAATATGTTCCTTTGCTTAGTTTTCTTATCCATAAATTCTTGTTACTTGAATTGATGTCAAGTTTAAGATGCCAGTAGTTTAAATTGATTGATTGACTGTACATATAGATATCAAATTTTCATACATTTTTGTGAATAATTTGTTAACGTTGTGTTTAATTTTGGAATTTGAAATCTCCTAAAAAATAATTAAAAACTAGACCGTGAGATGCAAAAAATAAAATAAAATTACTCCAAATCAAGAAAGAGTGCAAATCCAAAATCGTTTTCAAGTTTAGATACAATATTGATGGTTGATTCTATTGGTTTGACAAGTTGATCTTAATATTATGAATGTCTTAGTCTTCTTACTATTAGTGATTTTGAAGTTGATTATTGTTTTAATTATGTTTGAGTGTTTTCTAGTAGTAAATCTAAATATCTTGTTTGAATTACTTTATTAATATTTCAAAGTGCTTTTCTCCTTGTCTTGATTCTTATTTTTGTCATATTTCTTCTTCCATTTGGTTTAACTTGTTTCTTCATCAAAACTTTAGTTTTTTTTTCTACAGTTTGTATTTCATAGAAATCTTGAATGTTGTGTTGAATTTTTCTTATTTCATTTTGAACTTGTTATCAAGAACTTGAATCTTTAGAACATTAATCATTATCAATAAGAGTTTTAAAATTGTTTGTTATTTATTATCAGTATCTTCTTTCTTAATTTAATTTTTTTAACAATGAATTATGATGAAATTTTTTAGGGTTTTTGTATATGTGTATTTTTTATATGGGAAATATATTTCAAGATATCTTTTATTCATGTACTTTATTTATATAGAATTAAAATATTACAAAGTATCAAATTATAATAATATATTAATTATAATTGTCTAAATCAAAATAATAACTTAATATCTTTTTATCTTCTCTTCAAAGATAATAAAATCTCTTAATACTTAATTTAAATAAAAGATAATAAAGTAATATATCTTCTTTCTTAAAAGATAATAAAATCTTTTAATACTTAATTTAAATATAAAATAATAAAGTAATATATTTTTTCTCTTAAAAAATAATAAAATCTCTTAATACTTAATTTAAATAAAAGATAATAAAGTAATTTTCTCTTTAAAATGTTCTCCATTATGATGATTGTAGAGCATGTTGACGTAAGGGAAAGTTCCCTTTCTAGTTCATCCTCTGTAACCTTGACATCTTCTTTTGATTGTAATTTGCATATCTTTTCTATATGTCCCAATTGATCATATTTGTGACATTTCACATCGGGCCTCCAACAATACTTAATTGTGTGGGTGATTATTTTTCTTGCAATAACGACAGACAAAAAAGATACGTAATTTGACACATTTGTAGTTCTTGGTTGTTCTTGTGCTTATAAAGCATGTACCACTTCTGTCAAAACAATATTAGACAACTCCTTAGTGTTTTTCAAATAAACAATAGATGTTTCATATATCTCTGACACAGTTATCAAAATTTTCTTAATTATTCTGGAATCAGAAAATTCTTTACCTAACAATTTTATCTTGTTAGCAATACCCAACAATTTGTTTGAGTATTCATTAATTATCTTGGACTCTTGCATCCTTTGTATCTCAAATTCACTTATCAAGTTTAGAACTTTCATACCTTGAATTTTATCGTCCTTTAAATAATCCTAAATTTCTTTGGGTAACTTCAACATCATGATTCTAGTAAGGATCATTTGTAAAACACAGCAAACATGCATGATTTACCTTTTGTCTTCCTCATTTTTTCTTTCTCTATGAAATTTGATTTGAGCTACGGTGAGATTTTTAGGCAACGAGTCAATGATGTAATCTTCTTCCACAACTTTTCATACATCAATCCTCCAAGATAAGATTGCATTCTCACAACTCATAGGTCATAACTTTCGCCATAAAAAATTAGAATAACAACTTGTGAAAAATTTCTTTTGCCATCAAGAATTGAAATAACAACTTGTGAAAAGTTTCTTTCTCCTTCCATTTTCTCATAAGAACCAAAGTTCTTGATATCATTGATGGAATTTTTAAGATTTTTGTGTACATGTATTTCTGATATGTGAAATATATCTCATATGGGTATATCTTTTATTCATATACTATATATATATAT